AAAATAGTTGACAAGGCCAGCATTAAAGCAAACATCTGCGCTTGCTAGAGAAAACAACAAGTCTCCCCCGTCCCATACCCAGAAGCACATACCCTCCTGTGGACTCCACTCAGCTGCTAGGATGGGGAAAATAACAAGTACTTCTAGGTATGGAAGAAAATATGACTTTCTCCATGCAACAGCAATGGTCTAACCACCAAGAGATTGTGTAATCTACGACTTAAGTGACTGAGTGACTCTTAGTTTACACAAGGTGGCTTTGTTGCTGCTGGAGGGGCAGGACAGTGAAGAACAGGTATGTGCTGTGGGGGAGAATTAAAATGAACAAGTTGGAAAATAAAAGTCGTTGGTGGAAAAAAAATTAAAAAGCAGGACCTACAAAAGGAGAGGCTTTATAATCACTTGTACCTCCACCCATTCCTTGCATCTGTTCAATAGCTCAGATCTCCTGAAGAATCTTCACATTCAACACTTCCATCCAACTTTGTTTCCAACTATATTCAGTGGTTCCTTCTTTTGATTCCTACATCACTGCTGTGCCCTGTAGAAACATAGCAGGCAGTGGAAGGACCTACAACACACGGTGGAGGGCCCAGGCGTAGAACACTCTCCAAAATGCGTTGGATGTGAAGAGGCTGCTGCTCTGCAAGAGAACGTATTTGGAGCAATAGGCAGGGGGACAGATGGGTATAAATCCTCTTCTTTTGCAGGTCCTGCTTTGTGAGGGTTTTTTAAACCAGACAACAGAGTGCCCTTTTGCTTTTTAAGTACGACAATTTGAAGAGCAGAAATTAAGCAAAGTCAATACAATATATGGCTTTCTGTTTATTTTTGTCTTTTTGGCCACCTCTGGACACGTTTGCCCTCTACACACATTCAACACTAGAGCTATAAGACGAGGGCCCCATAGAAAAGTCTCAAGGCAAGTCTTAATAGCTCAAGTAACACAATCTTAACATAGCCTTCAACTTTGTTTAGTGAAGGTTGTTGATCGACTGTCTATACAATGAGATTAGGGTGCTAATGATGTACATCAAATTTCTGACTATCATAGTTCTAAAGACCTGCCTCTGGACGCTGTTGTCAAAAAGACAGACAGAGGGTAGTCACCAGTATTGCCAGCTGATCGTTTCCCCATTAATGACGGTCGTGGCATCTCCAAATCTCTTGAGTCTAGGGGGGTGATTTACTAACCTAAACACACGCACGCACCAGGTGCGTGTGATTTTTACACAGCAAAGCGTATTTATCAACCAAAAAGTCTCTATAAGCATGTTTCCACTAATGCCATATATGGAAAAATCATGCGCATGATGCATATATAATGCTGCTTCACAGTGGTTAGCTAATGCATTTACATTCCCGCATTCATCAACGCAAGCAACACAATGTAGAGCTAATTTACACAACATCACCTTGCAATTCAGGGCAGGGCTTTGCACAACACATCTGCTGGGTGTGTACACACTACAAAGGTGTTTAGATTCCACCCATAGATCATGCTGGGAGGGAACACACTACAGAGGTGTATACATGTTCGTGGTGTGTTTATAAGGTTAGTAAATAAACCCCTAGTAGTCAGAGGTAACAGTGCCTCAGATTTTAGACTACAGTTATACAGCTATGCAGTTGTATGTGCAGGAGTGCCTAGGTATACTCACATACCAGGAATTGTACTGCTGTTTATCAGGAGGAATTCCAGACAAAAGGAGGACTTTTCACACTACTGCTTATGCACAGTTAACATTTCTAAATGTCCTCTACAACATAGCAAATCTTCGCTTTTTTAAATTGGGTGCAATTTAAGGGTTTCTGTTCATGTTTATGAACATGTGGTCTGTACCAATATTATGTACCCAAGTGGAATGCTGGGAAATTGACAAGGGTCTAACAATAACCATAGCAGACCATTTCTTCCCAGGCTGTCTCCCTCTTGCTACTGCCATTACTAGGATCATAAAAGTTCCTGTGGGCCCTCACCAGAAAGTCTCCAAATCCGAGACTCCTGAATCTTCCATTTTGTTCACAGGCCTGAGGTTGTTAAGACTGGTTGTTAGGTGCAACAATGCGTGAAAACTGCACTAAAATGAGTCTGTCATGCGTTTTTAGCTCCCATTGAAGCCCATGGGGCCAAAAACATGCAATTCTCCAAAAAAAAGCACCATTGAATATAATGGGAATGTTCGTGTTGAGCATAGTCACATTTTTGGCAAACACACAATTGATTGCTTAGGTTTGAATAGGGACATAAGAATTGCCTTGCAATTTATTTATATGTGTACAAATGTATTTATTTTTATTAGTGATACCTGAGGATGTTTCAGGCCTCCAAAAAGGGATGACAGTTTAACTAAATATGGAAGTGCTTGTATATTAGGTTTATTGATTCTTTAAAACATCTTGTCACAAGTCTCTGGGGAATTAATATGTGTGCTTTAGAGTCTTTGCTATTCACAGGCGAGTTACTCATTATCAATTCAAGGTCTGGGAGTTGAGAAAAAACAGTTTCAGATAGCCAGTAATCAAGTAATCACCGTAAGGGCCTTGTAGACTCTGCGGTCATAGTCGAAGTATCCTTATCTGACGTGGAAAAGTCATTTTGTACATATAAACATAAAGGTTTACTTTAAGTGACACAGTATAAAGAACATTTCTGATAGGCAGAAAGCAATTAAATTCGGTTTCTTTGAATTTACTGAGGTCAGTGAATGATGAATTTTGATTACTTGCTGTCTGTGAATGCAGTTCTGTCACATTGTATTTTGCTACCAATTATTTTATTTTATGCATTCCTTGCATTTCCTTCCTGTGGGTACTCATATTGCTTCTTGCTCTTTATTTTACATACCGTGAGTGTCACACAGCAAAGCCTGACCTTTCCATGTGATATTGATCAATCCACACAAGCAGTATCTCTTCCTGTGTAACCTTGTGCCTGGTGCACATTCGTCCTATGCGTTTAAGTAGCCTGGATAGATCCAGGTAACCTGAACACTGAACACTGCACAGTGTAACTGGCTCTGTATGCTGGTGTGTCTATAGTATGTGTTATGATGTTCTCTACACTAGGGTTGCCACCTGCCCAGGATTCACCCGGACAGTGCGAGATTTGAATGCTGTGTCCAGGTTTCATGGCAGCAGAAACCCAGACACAAGATGTCAGGCAGCCAGGGGCAACCAAAATTAGGATTGGGGCTACTCGACTCCTACTGAAAATAGTCTCAACTGTGATTTTTACATATGAATGGGCGACGCTATTTACATATGCATAAGCCACGATTCATTCTCCCCAAAAAATGTCTGCGTGCTGCTTGAGTGTTCGGGTTTCGCTTGAAGAAAAGGTGGCAACCCTAGTCTACACATATGGCGGCCTGATCATTTCTGCAAACTTTTAGATATGTATTGGCATTTTTTAGATTTATTTTTTTATAGGTTGTATTATGAATTAAGGTAATTGATCATTTGTAATGGGGAGAAAAGTTGAATAACGTTTCCTAGTTTGAAATCTTAGAGCATACAAAGTAATCACAAGAAGTCACAAGAGTCCTTTTCCTTCTCTGATTTATCACATGCATGGGTATATGCATGCATAACAGTTTCTGAAACAATTCATTGTGAGTAGGAATTAAAAAGAGCAGGAACAATTAACATGTTATAATGTTTCTGCTTTACCTCTTAGGGTTATATATGTGTGCTTTTATTCACTTGTATTCTCTCCCTTTCGGAGTTGACATGGCATCTTAATGTCAGAGTTGAAGGCGTAAAGGCTGACTTGTCTATTGCCTAAGCTCAGTACTGGTAACAACACTGGGCTGCTGGAATAGGCAAAAACTGCTTAACAAAGCCTTTCGTTCTCTTTCATGTAATCCTGACAGCTCCATTGTTAAATGACAGTTGTCTGATTGACTGTTGTAAGCACTTTGCTCGGGCAAGATTAAAGCGAAAGAATACAATAAACAATAAAAAGTTCAAGTGATCCCTAAGAGATAAGGCAGCACTATTATAACAATTCAGTGGCGAATAAAGCTTGGTATATGCAGTTAGAATTTCCATCCAAAAAAATGTGTTTTTTGAATGTTCGATTTTTTTAATAGTGAATGGAGTCAAATCGCCCATCGATTTCGACCATGGTTACAAAAAAAAATTGAGGGGGAGGGATGGAAAATGTTTCCAATGAAATGATCAAATTAAATTCTAATAGTGAATGTGGTTAATTAATTTAAAAATGAAAAGTTAAAGTCAGTTTATCATGTTTCTGGTGCATTATTGAGTGTTTTAAAGGGATTTTTGTATGAACATTCGTATGAAAATCTACCAGTGTGTACCCAGCTTAAGATTATTACAGATGGCCTTTGGTTACACGTTCTCTTTGCCAAAACCATTGCTAAATCCGAATGTAAATATTGGTATCTCATGGGTGCCTTAGTGATGATTCAAAATGCTTTGTGTTTCTTTTTTCTGAAGTGTATGTATAGACCAACTCTTTTTTTTACATTTTGGATAAAGTAGGAAAGTGTTAAAACTCCTGCCTGTATATTTTTTGCTGTCTGTGTACCATTGGGAAAATATCCCTACACTTACTATCATTGAGATGCAACAGGAGGTAGTTAAGCTTTACCAAAGCGAGGGGAATTTCCTTCTTAGAGTTGTGCCCAAAGCAGGTATCCCCATTGGAAGATTTTTCTCACCTCTTGTTCTAGGGACAACTCTAAAATTTGGATATCCCTCGATTTATTTCTTGGTGACAATGGTCACCAGTACAAATAAGTAAATCTCACCAATGGGTATATAGGCAGCAATAAAAACTTGAGGGAGGGTCTAACCCTTCCCCATTCTACCAAAAAAATTTAAAAACAAAGCTTTGCCTAGAGATAGGAAGTAAGCTTCCTGTGGACTGAATGTTGTCAACCAAACTCTTAATGTAGTCTGATTCCTCATAGATAGAACCATACACTGGGCTGCGCTGGATAATAATGACTATGTTTGCTTCTTTCTTGCAGGCTGCCTCTGTGCAGTAACGGTATCCGTCCCTCCGAAGGTTGAAATTGAAATTGGACAAGAGACAGTCTTGAGGTGTACACCGAAGTTCAGTGGCACACCAAAGTACGGTGTAGAGTGGTCATTTGTAAGTATGCATCTATGTTATCGTGTAGAAGGAACAGTAGGGCTCATTTGGAAATGTGCTTTGTTATATAGCATAAACAAATGACTAATATCTTTAAAGTGTAGTCTACAGCACTATGTCACAATGATCTTCTCACAAGGATCAGTGCTGCAGTTTCCAGTCAATCTATGATTTTGGATTGATGAAGGAAATCAAAGCACCTGGAGAAAACTAATGAAAGGCCAATGGAGATTTTGTCTTTCGTGAGAATGGAACCAAGGACCACAGCACTGCGAGGCATGAGTAATAAACACTAAGACTTAATGGATAATCTGAAGTGGTGGCGATATCTAAGGCATCTTCTAATGGTGGAAGGCCCATCATTGTAGCTCGCACTTTCCCTATAGCCCAAGACCAATCATCCACCAGGGAGATTATTTTTTCTTTTCATTGAATTTCAAACTGTTTCTTTCCATCTTTTCATACTGTTACCCAGAGATAAGCTCTGTCCTGGGTGTGTCAGGGCTGAAAAACAAGCAATGAAACAGGTTACAGAGGTGGAAACGCTTTACCGAAGCCTTTTTACATTGACCAGAATCTCAATAACAGAGTAATGAGTACAGAATCTACCCACTCGTTGCTTAGCAGATTCTGAGATTGGTAGGAAAATTAATCACCAGTCGGTGGCGGAGTACTGATCAATATTCTGTCCCAGTTGATAGATTAATCTTTTCTTGAAACTCAGGACATAGAGTTGGTAGTTGGAAGCATATAATGATTCTAGGCTGGACTAACTCACAGTAACCATATAAAGAAAGGTTTGGAGTGCATCTTGAAGATATTTTATTGTATATAAATTGGAGATGTCTATGTATTATTCCACTTATTTCTTTGACTTTAAGCTTTTCAAGAATGGTAGCTGGAACAAGGAGAACAGTTAAAACTGGAGCTGCATCTATACACCTAGCATTATACGTATTTGAGAATCATGGTCTCTATACTGAGTGCATTTATATTTTCTCTCTTGAAATGCATTTTAATTAGGGTACTTTAAGACTCAAAAGGTAAAGTCCACCTTTTTGCAAAAAAAATAAAAAAATCAATAAATGCACACTCAAAAGAAAAAATGTGCAGATATTGATTTTTTTTTTGTATTGAAACCTGCAGAGCATTTCAATCATCATAGTGGATTGTAGATGCAGTTTGCAGGCTCCTGCAGACTATTTCCCCAGCCCCTGCTCATACTGAGGTAGAGTGGGAACTGTTTGGGGGGGGTGGGGTGCTGGAGATGTGATCATGTTTCATGTTACACCATAAATATGGGTGTAACATAACACATGGTAAGAAAGATGGAGTTATCCTTTAAAAGCTTTGCCTGGATTAAGGATTTGAAGGGTCACACAATAAAATATATGTGTTAATGTGATTTGTGCCCTTTTGCCTTGATATAATATATAGGACTTGTTGTGCCGCATTGCATTTTTTAATTGTATTGACTTTAGTGGCACAGTGCAGGTTAATACACCCACTGCACGGCATGCAGGATTTTTCCAAAGCACTGCAGTACATTGTTGATGAACCATAGTGTCGCTCCAGGTTAATCAACACATTGCCCACCAAAGTCAGGTGCCCGCACAGACCATCACTGGTAATACTGTTGCAAAAAAAAGGGGATCCCGGTATACCGACATGTTCGAAAAGTGGCTTCTGTATTAAGCCATGGGTCAATGTCACATGCTGCTGTCCATTTTTTCTGCAACTGCAGTGCGATACATTGGATAAACTAGTTGTATTAAAACAATGGACTTATTTTTGCGTTTTCCTTGCACTTAAAAACAGCAAAATGCATGACAACTCATTCAATGTGAACAAGTACTGAAAGGTCTTTCTACTGTAGGATGGTGCTGGCTGTCCAGCACCAGTGTATTGAAGGCTCAGATCATTGAACAGCCCCTTCTCCACCCCCCTTCCCTATCACCACCCATTTCTTTGTGTAAGGGAAAGGAGATTAACCCGTTTTATGGAAAACCTTTTAACCTTATAGTCGACTATGGATGAAACAGAATCTTTGGTTTTATGGGTTTTCTAAGCCAGTCCTGGTAGGTAAATGGGTAAAAAAAAACATAATTGTGCTTTTCTAAGGTGACAACAGAATTGACTTTCTCATCAGGAATGCACTAATCTGCATTAACTGTCAACAGCTTTTGCTCTGACAAGTGGAAGTAAACTGGGGGAGGAAGACTCTCCCCCATCACACATGAGATGAAGATTTGACAATGGTGCGTTCCAAGTCTTCGGAGCATAATTGCTTTAGCAATTTACTTGTCAATTCACAAGAGATTTTCTGGTGCATATTGTGTACTGAATCTGATCAAAGTCACGGGTGTGACAAACATATTTAAAGGGTCATTTTCACTCAAAACTGATATTTCAGTGCTTGGTAGATGCCAGAGAATGAGAACATCTAACAGGTTTTTTTTTTAATTCTTGGTGGGATATCTGTGTTTGAGTCCCTCAGTTTGCAGACCCGCTGTAGCCAATATCAAGGATCACACCCTCTGTGTAAGATTTTTTTTAAATTATATTTTTCATTGCAAAAATAAAAGCAACAAGACAAGTTAGAATACACAAACCATGGCAACATTCAAACTCCAAGGTGGACATGGAGAGAGTCAGCAATTATCCAGCAGATAGCAGTAAGGGTGCCACATCAATGGTGTTAGGGTCTAGTATACAGTACTTCCTTATTTATATAAAATCATCAATTATCAAGCCAATGCGTTTTGGGGGCTCACACACTTCCCCTTTATCAGGGCTTGTAAGCTAAGTCACTTCAGGAATGCCTGAACTCAAAGGGGTTAAGAGTGTTTTTTGGTATATAGTATCAAATCTTTGCACCAGCAGGTAATAGAGCATAATTCTTGTTGAGATATCTGCACTTGAGTTTGAGTCTGCAGACCCGTGTTGGCCACTAAGATGGATGCTGCTCTCGCTGTTCGATTTTTCTGTTTATTTTACACTGCACAAAAAAGCAGTAGGAGGAGCTGGATTACACAAACATTGGCAGGAACATGCAAACCTCCAAGGTGGACATGGACAATCAGGATTTATGGCAGGGAGATCTTTCTGTTGGTGCATTCAAGTCATTAAAAAACAGGGACTGACTGAGCTCACCAAGTTACACCTATGACTAAATTATCATGGTACAGCCGCAGTTCCAGATTTTATCAGAAGTTGGCGCTGTATGTGATATATATACTGTGAGTTATCCTGGAAGCTGTGAGAGGGGGATCTCACTTTGTCACTGAACACAAAGAGCTTCCAACTACCTGGGATGTCCATCTAGTCCAATTTAATCATTGCAGAATGTATCCTGAATATTTTTGTGTTGTCAGAACAGTGGCTTAAAATATCATTTTCCTATGACGCTGGTATGGTATGATGCACCAGGTTAAGATGGATGCTACTTAGAGCAGTCAGTAAGCCAACAGATTTTTGGCAAATCACTTAATACATTTGGCTTATAATGTAAAGTAAGTGATTTTCTCACAGCAGTTGAAGATCATGCAGCTATTAGAGGGCATATCCACAGATTTGTTTATTAAAAGTTAATATTACATTATGAAACAGTATGCGTAAGCCTGGAATAAAAACCAGATCATTTTAAGGTACTGTAAATTCTACTAATACTATTCACTGCAGATCCATTAAGTTTTTGCTTTACATTTCTCTACGTAATACTTATCTTTAGCTTATCTCTGTGTTAGTTTGTGCCTTACAATTTTCTTCTCTTTTGGACATGCACAGATAAATCAGGAGGGGTCTCGAGTCCGTATTGCTACCTATAACAATGGGCGCACATCCGTGGACCAGGGAACGGACTTCACAGAACGAGCCGCAATTAAAAGTGACAACAGCCTGGTGATCAAAGATATCCGTGTCCAAGACGAAAGCACATTCTACTGCAGGGTGACCTCTACCAGTGAGGGGAGTGGTGAGGGCAGCACCGAGCTGAAGGTCTATGGTGAGTATGGATGTCTGTTATTGACTGTAAATGTATTGGAGTTTTTTGTTACTGCTGCTCTCTAGTTGTCTGTCAATACAGTCACTGCTAAATCAGTCATGCACTACCCAGGCGGTTGATTGGTGCTGTGTAAGTGCTTTGAATAATCAGTATACATTTCTTGATCGTACAATACAGGACACGGTCCAATTCGTAGACAACTGTGTAATATATTGGTATCACCAGGTGATTATACACTGGCCAGAGCTATGAGGACCCTCGTATAACCCCTACCACTCCCAGCAATCTTTGGAATTTAGTGTCCTTAGGTGATGGAAGCCTCTTCTCTATTAAGTGAAACTATCAGCATTCCTACCTTTTTACTGAATCTTCAACTAATTGCTGTAACTGGCAAGGGCAGCAACTTTGCAGCTTCAGCAAAGTTTCAATACAAATTTAGAAAAGGAGGAACCTTTTAAGAAAAAAAAATGTATGTCTAGGATTTACCTACATTTACTACCAAACCTCCCTCTTCTCATTTAGAACATATCTCTGCATTATATTTTTCTTTAAAGTGAACCTTCCATTCTTAACTGAAGGTACACTTTTTTGCAAGCCCCCTGCTTCTTCCCCAACACATATTTAAGACACAGTCTGTAAACAAACAGATAACCTTTAAAAAAAAAATGATTTTGGCCCCAGCCTCCAAGGCTTCCAGGAGGGATGGCTGATGTTATTGTACCTGCCTGCCGAGCTGGGGGCTCAAAATACCATCAGAATGCCCATTGCAAGAGTTCTTTCTTAGGGGATTTTGAGTGCCAAGCTATGGGAGGAGGCAAAGGTGAGGCACAGTAAATGGTGATGTCACCCATGCCTCCTAAAAGCATCAGAGGGCAAGGTAAGCAGTTTTGTAATTTTCCATCATTAGTTGTTAGGACGCTAGTGGCTGGGCCACACAGAATCATTAGTTGTCAAGACGTTGGTGGACCCACAGTATCATTGGTTGCTGGGACACAGACAAGGGTTTTGCCAGTGGGCCAATTGTTTGCCCATTGGTCAGACCGCAAATAGCTTGGGGTTGGCTGGAACTCATGGTTGACCTGAACATTATTCCTATTGGTGTTGAGTGTCCACAATCTGGCTATGAATACAAGGCGTTTCTTCACCTCTGCACTAGGATGTCTTATAAAATCTGGACTAATTATTTACCTTATAAGTGGATATTTAGTTTATAGACACATAAAACTAGGATGTTTTATATATAATACCTTATGTGATGCTTTGTCATTGCTTGGTATTTAGTGGGGAATGCACATTATCAATATTCCCTTATTTGATCTTATTAATTCATATACAACACATTTAAGTGCTGCCTTTGTAAAATTGTACTTATTTAATGATTTTGTTCTCTTCCCAGTGTCCCCGTCGGCTCCAGAGCTTACAGTAAATTTACAACTACTATCAATAACGGAGGATATTGCATCAGAGGTGTTTGTTAAGATTTTTATTATCTATTGCTCTGCCTTCCCACTTTTAGATGTATGCCGGACTCCTAAATGTCACATGTTTGTAATTGACATTATATTTTAGCGCTGCAATGACTTGTGATGTATTCAATTGGGCAACAAAATCTACTCGTTCTATACTAGGAGAGCTTTGTTAAGACTTCAACTTGTAAAAGAGTTTTGTGTGCAGTAGGTTTTTACAAAGCATGTGCAAAGCTTTTAGGAAGCAGCTGTCTTGAAGCTTTTAAAGCATCATGTAGCTTCAGTTTGGGTGAGGATAACCATAATGGGAGAACTGATGTAAAGAGACAGTCAGCATTTACATTATGATCTGTGTTTTACATCCCCAAACAGGATCTAAAGATGATTTAAAGTTGTATAAATTCTTTGCAAACCATGCTGCACGGACTGCTTATATAAGGATAGGTTCATGTGTATAAGACCTGAGCAATAACCTGCAAATCTGTCTGTAAATTGTGTTTCTCAACTAGTGTTTGGTCACTTAGTATAATGTTCCTCTATGCACCCATATCTTTTTGTCGCTGTTTCTTAAGGTTGGAACCTGCATCAGTCGGAACTCCTATCCAGCTCCAACCATTAAGTGGTTCAGAAACCAGGATCCTTTAAATGCTGGCAATGAAAAGGGGACAGGTATGAACCTGGTGAAGACTTGTATTTGGAAAAGACCATGTCATTTTCAAAGTATTAATATGCCATCTAGCCTAGATTAAAATGTATCTGAAGAAAAAATTGTTCTTGCTACCCATAGCAAGTAGTTGGATTCTACTTTTCATTCTTGTCCTGCACCGGAAACCTGAATAAGAGAATCCTATTGGTTTCTGAGGACAGCAAAACAGTATTTATAGTAGATCACTAGATTTCTGTGCCTTGATTGAGCCATTGGTAAAGCTCATTGTGAGAAATCTTCTTCCTTTTTATGTCTTCCTGCCATCTATACACATACATGCGTCAGCAGGTCCACTGTTTTTTGTTGAGAGACAGCTCCTGGTCACTTTTTAGAATCGGGAGCTGGCGGGACGGGCTGCCAGCGATGTGCCCACTGTGACAGCTGATCAGGCAGCTTGCCTCTGACTCCCAGCATTATGATCCCCTGAAAAGGCCACCAGGAGTCAATGGGCCAAAAAAAGTATACACATTTTAAGAAAGGAAAAACTGTATTCAAATTGTAGTACTCAATATATACCGATAACAAAAGATGAATACAAGTCACATTTTACTTTTGCAATTGCAAGGGGTGTTTAAAGTGGTTACCATCAGCGTCCAGACACTTCTGAAATATGGTGAACTACTGCTTGAGCAACATTGACTAAAGCGTCCACTTGTATCACTGCACATGCCGTTTCATTTTCTTCCCTTATCACGAATGCATGTAATTGTTAGGGTGTTGGAGGTTCTTTTGCATACTCATACCTCCATTGTCCTTGTACTTCCACAACAATCTCGAATTTTAAATACCACTTCAAAATGGTCTTATACTCCTCGAAGGACAACCGTGCTTCCGCCATTTTCCTTGACTGTCCCGCCTGTCGAAATCACGCAGCTGGGTGGATCTCGACAATAATGTTGGGATCCGTCCCGGCTGCGGTTGTCTCAGTATACCGCGAGCTATAGCTCGCAGTATACTGAGCTTTAGGTCACGGGAGGATGCTAGTTTGTGTTCTCCCGTGACCCTTAGGAAAACTGTGGGGAAAAACACTTACCCCATAGTTCTCCTTTAAGCTTTTCACTAGTAGGAACACAGACAGCAATAAAAACCAGACTGAGGTCTGAACCCTTCCTCACTATCCAAAACAAATAAAAAGCTTTTGCAGCAGTTGGACTGCAAGCCACCCGAATAGAATATGACAATGTAAGCACTCCTAGCAGGGTCAAAACAATGGATGTTCTAAACCTTCAATGACTTCATCCATTCTGTTAAACTGACAGCTTATGCCTCTTACGCTGGCCATACACCTGTCAATTTCTCACGGACTGAACGGAAGAAATTGACGCGATTCCTCAATCAACCCAAACAGCGTGTCGATTGAGGAATCCTGTGGTTTGCATTGTATTCTGACAGTTGCCGTTGGCACCTGTCAAAATACCCGATTAGTGCGGGCAGCTCATTGGCTGCTGGCTCTGATCACACGAAGATTTTCCAGCCAGCTCCTTTGATCAGTTGAAAGGAAGCCGACAACCCCACATGCTGTGCAAATTTTGTCCGGTACATTAAAAGTTGGAAAGATTAGAATTGTGGTGATCAATTTCCGCTTACAATTGTGTAAAAACTACTGCTTCAAAAGCTGCCAACTGGGAATGAGGTTTGGGGATACCATAGGTTCCTCAGGATTTGCAAACTTCACAAATCATGAACTTTTGGCCAAAAGCTTTACAGGTTCGGAGCTAAAGGAACACCTATAAAAGAGTGCATATCCTTTGCTCCTTGTCAGATGAGTCACAAAAGCCAATAATTACAAGGAATAGATGAATCATCCCCCTTTTTATATCAGGGTGGGCTCACTGCAGCCATATTGTCAGTGTGTTGGGGGACGTAACAGTTCTGTGTAGGCAGATATACTGTTTTTTATACATTTATATTCCTAATTTTGGTATAGGTACAAATCCCCCATGGACATGCCTGGCTTCCCATATCCTTGTATGACCTTAGCTTACTTATTAGCCCTACAAATGGGCAGAATTAAATAACAAGATTCAACACCTCTGGACTTCATTTGGGTTTGCCATAAAGTTCACAAACTGCAGACTTCAAAAAAAGTTTGCAAAATTGTTTGCACGCCAAATCTAGGCAGATTCGCTCCTCCCTTCTAGTAACAATTGGTAGAGTTTGAGCTATTAGATGGTTTAATGCATTGAGGAGATCATTATTAAACGCAATTATTTCCACCTGCAGATTTATACGCTTCCTCCCGCACGACAACCGAGGCTTCTGGCTTGTATACTGTATCTAGTACGCTCTTTCTGAAACCCCGAAAAGAAGATGCTGATGCTGTATTCTCTTGCAAAGCTGTGTTACCATTACCAGGCGGTGGTACCAGTGAGATGGAGTCAAGGGAGTTCAAATTGAATTTACATTGTGAGTAACTGAGGACCTATTATTGCTTATGTTATAGTTACCGTATTGCTGGTCATACACCTCATACACCGTTTGATCTGCCAATTTTCCAAAAAAACACCAAATCTGTAAGATCTAGGCAACCTAGACACAGGCCTTCTGGCCCCACAATGGATAATAGAACCTGATGTATGGTGGGCACTGTATAGTCTTATTAGCTTAGCTTAGTTGACCATGTAAAACATTGCTTCTCAGTGGTTTACTGAATTTCCTGAGTTTGGCTATTTTATTAAATACTGTTTACCATTACGCTTTTCAATAACAACAGAGATTACAGCCCTCAGACCTGCAAATGAGCCACTGATCTAGAGGGGTTCTGCATAGCCAAGTGTTGGCAGGGCTGTCAGGCATGGCACACAGCCACCCACACCTGCTGTTATCTGTAACACGTTCCCATGTATAATTTAGAGATGCAGACTTCCACCCCGCCTGCCAGTGCAATCTGGCTAAGTCTTGGTTGTTGACCCTGCACATATTGTGCTTTTTTGGTGGTGGAATAGCATAGTATGTACTTATTTGCTCTTAGCCTTGATGTGCCTTGTTTAGCTATGATGTGTAATCTAGTTACTTTGATACTAAGGCTGGTCAAAAGACAGCTGGCTTAGGAGGCAGGTAGTATAAATTCAGGCCTGGGTTAAGGCCAGGTTCACGCTTTCCCCCTCCTTACGTCCTTAAAATAAAAAAAAAACATCTTGGGCACACCAGCAGTGATGGGAGACATGCTGTCTGAAGATGGTCTATAGATGAGTTGCACAGTTATAGGACCAGCACAGGTGTGCTTCCCCTGTACACGATCATTGAATCTCTGATGTGCCATAAGAGAACCCTGAGGAAAGGTCCTTGTGATTTGCTCTGACCTTGCAACTTTCCTGCCAGATAATTTTCCTTCTCCAGATAGATAGCACATCTTAAGGCCTCATTCACACTGCCGCGCATATACGTGCGTACGTGCGTATTGTACCATATGCAACATATGCAAATAAATGGCTCCATACACATAGCTGCGTATGGAGCCATTTATTTGCGTAGCGTATATATGCGCAAAAACAGAATGGAACCGAGATGCGTCCGGGCAGCGTATGTCTGCGTATTTTACGCGCGTATACCCGCACAGTTTATTAAAATGTCCACGCATATACGCACATACGCTCGTATATACGCACATAGACGCTTGTATATACATGCATAGACGCGTATATACGCAATATACAATTTTGCTTGCGTTGTGTGTGAATGAGGCCTAACTGTGAATAGCTGTAAAATGTATCCATAGGCAGTATTGGGTAGGGGTGCAGTAAAGGGCATACATTAAAGGGATGTATGCATACAGTACAGGGAGGCAAACAAAGACGTCTGTACAGTAAAGAAATGTGAGGAGTGCACAATAAAGGGGAATTTTGCAGAGAAGAGGGTGCACTAGGGGTAGTTGTGGGGCCCTGCAGGGAAAGGTGTACAGTAAATAAATGGTAGCAGTGCACAATCATGGGGGACCTAGCAGAGAAGGCTGTGCAGTAATGGAAGAAGGGCCTTGCACAATCAAGGAGAAACCAGTAGAGAAGGGTGTACAGTACAGGGTTGGGTGCACAGTAAAAGGGTACCCAGCAGAGAAATAATGCGGTAGTCGGTGGATGTAATGAGGTGGGGATGTGGTTTAAACTTTGGACTGTGACCCCTACACCTGTACTTACACCAATAAAACAGCCAATTAGTATTTCCGAAGGAATAGTTTAAGGAGACTGCATTATAAATTAAGTAACATTAGTTGAGTTTGAAGAACTTTTATCTTCATGCCCCATTAATCTTGCTTGCTGTTTTCACTGTGCTTATAAGACAGCTTCTCTCTTCAAACATTATTCTTTTTTTTTTCTCATTCAGATTATACTGAAGCTGTAACTTTTATGGTTGAACCAGTGGGCCCCATAAAGGAGGGCGACAAAGTAACCCTTCGCTGCGAAGGAGATGGAAATCCCCAACCAACGTACCTTATGCAGAAAATAAAGGTGCTTTGAATAATGTTGTATATGCGCTGTCATATGAAATATATATTTTAAAAAAACTTAAAAATAAGGCTATTGCCCACAATGACTAATGAAAGTCTCATTTTTTTATTGTCCGATGTGTACTGTGAAAATGAGATGTGCAGTCAGATTGGTTGATTCTACAAGAAATGTCTTCCTTACTATGGTTATAGGAACTGACCTTTGGCCACTCTGAGGCCCCTGTTAGGGCAGAATGTCATTCATTAGTTGGGCAAGAACTACACATTACAACATATTTGCCACCCTAAGACTTGTAGTTTCTGCATAGCTGAAGGACAATATTGCTGCTTCCTTCCCAGTCAGACGCTGAAAAATGCAAAGACTGATCCATACCATATGCATATAAGTAGAGTAGTTCTAATATTAGGCTATAGCTACACAGAAGATTTTCTGTAGCTCAGTTGTGCAGCTAAAACTGCTAGCAATGAATTAATAGGAGTAGCAAATGATCAAGGAATGGATGGAACACATGGCTTTGTATGAAGTAAGCCACATGATTAGCACTTAGTAGTGATCAGTGTCTCCTAAGGCTACAAACATGTACAACTGATCACTACAAGATACTACTTCTGTAGCTTGCTCCACCAAGGACTGTGTGTTCCATCTGCCCAACAATTCATTTCTAGCACGTAGTAGAGACTAATGGGTCCAATTATGTACAACTGATTATGAAAAGGTGCTACTTGTGTAGCTTACTCCATTGTGTCTGCGATCCGGTCCGATGCGATCAAAATAGTGCTTGTAGCATTTTGATCGCACCGGACCGCAGGCACAATGTGCCTTGCGATCCCGTACGGGCGATCGCATTGTGGCCGGAGGGCGTGGCTATGGTGCCATTCACTTCAATGGCCAGCCACGCCCCCTCCGGCCCCACGAAATACTGAGCCGGCGGTAATGCGATGCAGTGCGTTCCGACCAGAAAGTGGCCGAAACCCACTGCATATGGTGTGAACAGGCCCTTAGAATCCATGTGTTTCACCTCCCTAGCAATCACTCAAAAGCATGTATGCATGTATTGATTCATTTCTCACAATACACCAATTATGTACAACTTATCACAACAAGATGATACTTGTGTAGCTTGCTCCACCAAGGACTATGTGATCCATCTGCCCAACAATTCATTTCCAGCATGTAGTAGAGAATAATGGGTCCAATTATGTACAACTGATTATGACAAGGTGCTACTTGTGTAGCTTACTCCATAAGAAGCCATGTTTTTCACATCCCTAGCAATCACTCGATAGCATGTAGTGTTGATTCATTTCTCACAATGCTCCAATTATATACAACTTATCACAACAAGATGATACTTGTGTAGTCTACTCCGTAAGAAACCATGTGTTCCATCTGCCTAGCAATCAGTTGCTAGCCTGTGGTATGTTGTATAGTGCTTCAATGATATATAACTGACCATGGCAAGATGCTACTTGTGTGGTTGAGAAAGTCAACATTTTCTGTGTAGCTCTCATCATATGAGGCGACTTTGAGCAAGTTAATTCTCTCAAGAACAAGAGTTTACAATTTCCTGTGTAGCTTAGCCCTCAACTCTTAATCTGCGTGGTTTTTCTGAGTTAGTGAATATGAAAATACCAAAGTCAAAGAGTAAGCATAACACTCAGAAAACTCACATT